TCCTGGAGGCGGCGCAAAACGGCAATGGCGGGCCTCGTCGGTCACTGAAGAGGGGCTCCGCAGACAAGGGTCGTCCGCGGCGGCACTGCGGTGACCCATTAAGCAAAACCACGGGCAGAGTGAGCCCGTGGCCGAGGGACTCGGCGGGCACCAGGAGCGACCCCAAAACGAAGAAGGAACCCCGTAAGGGGCTCCGGAAACGTGGAAGGGGAGCGGTGCTGTGAGTTCATCGCTCTTTCTGCGGGAGCGAAGCTCGCGCGGCTGCTGCTGATGAGCGCCGACCTTTCTTCTTGGAACATCAGGCTCTAAACTACCTACTCGTGAGTAAGGATCAATCATTTTGGGACTAAAAGTGTTAAATTTGGCTGAAAGCGGGAGACGATAAACAGGAAGTCCGTCTTCCGGCAGTGCTTTAAAGATCAAAGGCAAAGATTTTAACAAGCGGGAAGCAGCTTTAAAAGATTATAAATTTGGGACTATCGTGTTGATAGAATTGGCTTTTAAAAAGAAGGAGAAAAGATTTTTATTTCTAAGTGTTTTGGACTTTAAATGGGACTTTCCTCCCCTTTATGGATTATAAAGAATTAAGAACCAAACCTCGGACTGACAGGAAAAAAGAGAGCTGTCATTGCGGAAACTGTATCCAAAATAGAGACTGTTACAGTTGAGTGATACTGGCAAGATACAATTAAATAAACTGTTACTGGCACCTTTTATCTGAGACTTTGTGGCAGCTTGGGAAGTGCTCTGTAAGCTAAAAAGTTTATGAAGAACTTTTGGTAAATTAGACTGTTTTGAGGCTGCAGGGACTTTAATGGCGGATAAAGTTCTTTCCTTTCTATGAACTACAGTAATACTCCCCTAGTGGAGTTCTGGAATTACAAGTGCCTGGGAACAAATTTTATTTGGACTATCTGCTGCTCTGTTATTTACACTTTGGAACTGTCCTTCCCATGGGACAATATACAGCTTGACCTTGACTCATAGACAGGTGTGGAATGAGTGGCCAACCGAAAACAAGATCTGCGAAAACGAAAGCAAGACAAGCCCAACTTGTGCAAACAACTTTGACTACTCAGTCACGTAGATCATCTGTCCCAGCTGTTTTGGGAGTACAAGAAAAGGAAACTGCACAGCCTGCATCAGAGGATATGGCAGAGGGAGGATCAGATACCTTCTTACAACAAATGTTAGAACAATTTGCAATATTGAACAAGAAGGTGGATGACCAATCGGCAAAAATAGATCAAGCCACATCCTCTATTACTAAATTGTCTGACCAAGTTGCACAACATACACAAGTTATTGGGAATCTCAAGGAAGCAACTGTGGAAAATCGGAGACTGGCTGAAGCAGCCAATGAAAAAGCAGAACAAGCAAATCAAAAAGTTGAGGCTATAAAAGGGGAGGTAAGGCCACTACACAAGCACATTAGTGATCAGCAGGCTTACCTGTCTATGGTGGAATTGAGAAACCGGGAAAACAATCTGAGATTAAGAGCTATCCCAGAGCTTGAACAGGAAGATTTAATTGGTTATCTGACAGCAGAATTTTCCAAGTTCTGGGGTATAGAAGAGGACAAAGATTTCAAGATCACAACTGCGTTCAGATTAGGAAGAGTCGTGAGGAGGGACAAGCCCAGAGACTGTTTGATTATTTTGAGATCCAAGCAGGAGAGAGATAAAATACTAGGCCTCCACTTTAAGAAATCACTTGATATCCAAGGCAAAAGAGCAGAATTTTATAGAGATATTCCTAAACAACTTTTGGATCTCAGAGCCACATATACAGACCTAGCAAGACTACTGAGAGGAAACGCGATTCCATATAGGTGGGAGTTTCCCAAGGTTTATCTTTTAATTTTAAAGGAAAGAAAATTAAGATTAAAACATCAGAAGATAACCAGAAGTTCCTGCACGACCACGGAGAAGACCTTCAGAAGGGAGCAGCAGCCTCTTGGCCACCGCCACTGCCTGGAAAAGCACCGATACCTACACCCTCGGGGCCAGAAGAAAAGGAAGACACCCCACTATAGGAACAACAGATTGATTCAGAATGTCTCTGCAGCTGTACAGTTGGAATATAAATGGCGGGAACTCCCGGAAAAAGACGAAGGATTTTTCATATTTTGAAAAAGAACAATTGGATATTGTTTGCTTGCAGGAAACGCATGTGACTAGGCTCCATAGGAAAGTGTTAATCAACAAAAGACTAGGCCAAGAATTTATTTCATCAGACAAAGTCAAGAAAAGAGGCGTAGTGATTTATGCAAAGGAGAACCTGTCACCGAAATTTCTGTTTAAAGATGAGCAAGGAAGAATTTTGGCAATTGAGATACAAACACAAGGAGAAAAGTTTTTGATTTTAGGAATATATGCACCAAATGAGGGGAAATCGGAATTTTACAAGAAGCTGCATGAGATAATGCTGGACTATCTGGACTATACCAACATCATAATGATGGGCGATATGAATGGGGTGGTTTCTACTCACATGGATAAGTCACAAAATCAAAATTTAACTAAAGACGGCAGACTACCTAAAACCTTCTTTGAACTAACTGATAACATGGACTTGATTGATATTTGGAGGACAAGGAACCCCTTAGGTAAAGAAGGAACATTTTTTTCTGAGGCCCACCTATCATGGACAAGAATCGACCAAATATGGACAACTAGAGGACTGGCACCTAAGATCAGAAAAGTGGAAATCTGTCCAAAGACTTGCTCCGACCATAATGCTTTGAAAGTGGAATTGAGACTTACTCCAACCGGTTCTTTCAGATGGAAAATGAATGACACCCTACTAAGAGATCAGGAGATTGTGAAGAAGGCCCAAAAACTTTAAAGGACTATTTTGAAATCAATTTGAACACTTCGGTGGAAAAGAGAACAATCTGGGACGCAAGTAAAGCTGTAATGAGGGGGTTTCTGATACAACAGAACACAATCAAGAAAAACTTTGGAATGGGAAAAAGATAGGATATTAGAGAAGATAAGAGAAGGAGAGAAAAATTGAGATTAAAACCAAAATCAAAAGAGGTTTTAAGAGAAATCAAATTCCACCAAGCTCAATATGCGAAATTGATAAATCAAGAAGTGGAATGGAAAATCAAACAAATGAAACAAAGATCATTTGAATCGGCAAATAAATGTGGAAAACTGCTAGCATGGCAGTTGAAAAAGAGACAAAAATTGAACTTTGTCACTAATCTAGAGGTGGAAGGGAGAAACATTCAGAAACCAGAAGAAATTAGAAAGTGTTTCCAGAAATATTTCAAAAAGATTTATACACAAGGGCCTCAGGAAGTGTCTGAGATAGATCAATTTTTAAAAGTTAACGGTCTATCCAAACTATCTCAGGAGAAGAGGACAATCTTAAATAATAGAATAACACGACAGGAAATAGAGGGTGCCATTCAGAATATGCAACTAGGTAAATCTCCAGGCCCAGATGGACTTACCTCCAAGTACTATAAGACACTAAAAGACTATTTGATACAACCACTAATGGAGGTCTGTAACCAGATTATGGAGGGGAGGAGGGCACCGGAAACGTGGAAAGAAGCTTTCATCACATTGATTCCTAAATTGGAATCTGAAAAGACTCAGCTTAAGAACTACCGTCCCATCTCACTCCTAAATGTGGATTACAAAATTTTTGCTGATATTTTGGCGAGCAGACTTAAAAAAATACTTAACGAAGTAATTCATAAGGACCAGGCAGGCTTTCTCCCAGGGAGACATCTTTTGATAATACCAGGAACATTATTGATATTTTGGAACTTTTACAAACTAATATCAATACGAAAGCTGTGTTAATTTTCATCGACGCGGAGAAGGCCTTTGATAATATTTCTTGGATGTTTATGAAGAGAAACCTGGAAGGGATGGGAGTGGGACGGGGTTTGAAAATGGAATAGAAGCAATTTATTCTGAGCAAAAAGCTAAACTGATAGTAAACAATGTGGTGACAGATGAGTTCAAAATTGAAAAAGGGACACGACAAGGGTGCCCCCTATCCCCCCTTTTATTTATTTCAGTCCTGGAGGTGTTACTGAACATGATTAGGAAGGACCGGTTGATACAAGGAATACAGGTCGGAGCGAAACAATATAAATTGAAAGCTTTTGCAGATGATTTGGTTTTAACATTACAGGAGCCAGAATCTAGTACAAAAAGAGTATTAGAATTGATTCATGAGTTTGGTCGGGTGGCGGGATTTAAGTTGAATAAGCAAAAACTAAGGTTTTGGGGAAAAACTTGACACCCTCAGAAATAGATGGGTTTCAGAAGGAAACAGAACTAAGTGTGGTAAAAAAGTGAAATACCTAGGGGTTCACTTGTCAGCGAAAAATTTGAATCTATTTAAAGACAACTATGAAAAATGTTGGCTGGAAATCAAAAAGATTTGGAAATCTGGTCAAGATTGAAACTTTCCTTGTTGGGTCGAATTGCTGCTATAAAAATGAATGTATTGCCGAAAATGTTATTTTTGTTTCAAACCCTACAGATTGTGGACAGAGTGGAATGTTTTGGAAAGTGGCAGAAGGATATATCCAAGTTTGTCTGGCAGGGCAAAAGCCCCGGATAAAGTTTAAAATACTAACTGATTTGAAAGAAAGAGGGGGGTTTGCCCTGCCGGACTTGAGATTATATTATGAAGCTGCGGCCTTCTGCTGGATGAAAGATTGGTTACTTCTTGAGAACACTGATGTTCTAGATCTGGAAGGGTTTGATAATGCTTTTGGTTGGCATGCATATTTGTGGTACGACAAGGTAAAGGTTCATAAAATGTTCAAAAATCATATTGTTAGAAAATCAATATTTATGGTCTGGACAAAATACAAGGACTTATTAGAGGGTAAGACTCCGAGGTGGCTTTCACCAGCAGAGGCCAAGGCCCGGAAAAACCTAATATGGAGGTTGGTTGGCTGAAATATGGGGAAATTATAGAAAAAGTAGGAGAAACTTGGAGGCTGCAGAGTTATGAAAAATTAAAGAATAAGGTGCAAAATTGGCTTCACTATGCTCAAATTCAAGAGGTTTTTAAGCTGGACAAAAGAACAGGTTTCCAGGTGGAAAAATCGAAACTAGAGACAGAATTGTTGGAACCAAAGACCAAGGTACTTTCGAGAATGTATATCTTGCTGCTTAAATGGAACACTCAGGATGAGACAGTCAAATCAGCCATGATAAAATGGGCTCAGGACATTGGGTACAACATTATGTTTGAAGACTGGGAAAGGTTATGGACCACTGGTATGAAATTCACGGCATGTAATGCCTTGAAAGAGAATATTATGAAAATGATATACAGGTGGTACATGACCCCAGTCAAGCTTGCTAAGATATATCATTTGTCTGATAATAAATGTTGGAAATGTAAGGAGGCTGAAGGGACATTCTTTCACCTCTGGTGGACTTGCCCAAAAGTGAAGGCCTTCTGGGAAATGATCTATAACGAGTTAAAAAAGTGTTTAAGTACACTTTTCCCAAGAAACCAGAGGCCTTCCTACTGGGCATTGTCGGTCAGAAGGTGTTAAAGAAGGATAGAACCTTTTTATGTATGCAACTACAGCAGCAAGAATTCTTATCGCAAAATACTGGAAGACTCAAGATTTACCCACGCTGGAAGAGTGGCAGACGCAATTGATGGGCTACATGGAATTGGCCGAGATGACTGCCAGGATCCGAGATTTGGAGGAAGAAGCAATGGAGGAGGATTGGAAAAATTTAAAGATTATTTACAAAAATTTTATAAGTTATATGAATGTTAAGAATTCGCATGATTAGGGAAATTCAGCTCCAGCAATAAGATTAAGGTATGGGAAACTAAGCTATATTAATGAAAGGACTAACGTTTAAAAGAACATTATATATATTATTAGTGTAAATTGACAATAAGCATTTTAAACGCAAATCACAAGTATTTGAAAGAACAAAAGAATGCACGAAATAAGGTTATAATTTGCTGAAAAATTTTATTGTAAAGAACGCAAGGTGAGGGGGACGGGGGGAAGTCCGGTTGGTTATGGAAAAATGTTTTGAAAAGATGATTTTCTTCTTTTTCTTTCTTTTTTCTGTTATTTCTTTGTATATCTGACCTTGTATTTCTATCTGGAAAAATGCAATAAAAAATATTATAAAAAAAAAAGCAAAAAAAAAAGCAGTGCATTCAGGATGCACAGTTTGGGGTGGGGTATTTTGGTTTCCCCCCTCTCAGGCCCCCACATTTCTTGGCCTTTCTCTCTGTCAGGCATCCAGCCCAGACAGGGTCAAGCGACCACATAGACTTTTTATCAGCTATTTAAACACGGCATACATTTAACCTCGCTTTGGGCTGTCTGACTGGACCTTTGCACAGCGGGTGAGAAGAGGACGATGGACTCAGCTATTGGGGGTACTGATAAAGCCTGCTCAAAAATCAAGGTCCCTTCATTCACCCCTCTCTGTCCCCAGGGACTCTGATGCAGGGACTGTCTTCCGATTTGGCAGGCTGGGAGGACTGCACCATTATTAGACTTGGGAGACTTTACTCCTGCCAAATTATCTTCCAACCACCAAAGAGGAAGATCTGTTCTGCACATTGGAACAGGGTTTGCTTACCTCTGGCCCTCCAGATGTTTTTTGACTCAAGCTCCCATCAGCCCCAGCCAGCATGGCCAATAAATTATCCAGCAATCATCTGGAGAGCCACAGATCACCCCCCACCCAAAAGAAAACTTTTTATGCCAGGGATGGGTAACAATTTTAAGTCCAAGGGCCACATTCCCTTATAGGCAAACTTCTGAGGGCCACATGTGAATAGTGGGTGGGATCAGAAGCAAAAGTGAGCGGAGCAATGAATTTGAGTTTTGCCTTTGTCCAGTACGTTGATTCCTAAACACACTCACACTTCCCTCTCTATCCTCTGTCCAGACAAGGAACAGCCATCATCAGATGGACACATTCCAGCGATGCAAAAATACTTGAGTACAGAGCAGAGTCTGTGAGGGGTGTGGCTTGTAGAAAGTCCTGAGGGCCAAATGGAGAGGCCTGGGGGCCACATTCAGACCCTAAGCTTGGAGTTCCAAACCCTTGCTAATAGGGGATTAGACCAATTGACAGAGGATAAGTCTTTCAGTGGCCACACCATGTGTAGATTAGGCACAAGACATTGCACTCCCTTCCTTCTGCACTTCTACTTCTGTTGCTGCCTCTCCCTCTCCCTGACCTGAACAGTTTTTGCTGCCGCCACCAGCGCTCTCAAAAAGTGCTCCCAAAATTACAGGGGCCATGTCACCTCTCGCCCCGTTGCCATGCTCTGAGAAAAGGGTCTGACATGGGTGGTGGTGAGGAGCAAAGATTTAGTCTGCTGAAGCAAACAGAAATGACTAAAGACCCTAGCAGCTCCTTAAACGAGGAACAAATAGCATTTAGCAAATTAACTTTTAACATGTCTACCCTGAAATAAATCCCCTGGAATTTAACAAGGTTTTTGCCCAGCTAAGTGAGTATAGAATTAAACTATTAATTGTCTTTTAAGTAGTTGTAGTTTTTTAATAGCATTTTCTATTTAAAGTGGCCAAAGATTATTTTGTTATTTTTAGACATGGGACTTATTTGTGGAGCTAATTAGCCCCCTTGTTTTTGCACAGCTTCTGGACTTTTCTGGATCAATCAGGCTGCAGGACGGCGGCGCTGTTGGCGCTGCGTTCGTTTCACTCTGGCTTCCTGCTGTGGGTTGCAGAATGGAGGCAGGGTGCAATTGCTTATCGCATGTGAGCAAAAGGAAGGAACGTTCTTCTGTGGTATATACAATGACGCACCCTCCACGCCACATCTGCTTTGAGGAGTACCAGCTGGAGTCAAGGCAAGGAATCCAAAAGGGGCCAGAGGCGCCTGGGGAGCTCTCCTGAGCAAGCTCTGGGCACTCTGGGGGTCTCTGCCAACCCAAGGGCCGCAATCCTTCATGGGCAACCTTCCAAGGGCCACATGCCAGTGATGGGCAGGGCAACAACTGTTACTTCTCTATGTACAATAGGTGACAGTCCAGCCACACAAAAAGGAGATGTTTCTACAGGCCCATGGCAAGCTATGTGTTTCTTTTTAAGCCATGCAAGGGCTAAAAATGCAGATAACATTGTGTCTAAGTGGGCCTTCATCTGCTTGCAGTAGCCGGCAGCAGAGGGCAAACCCCAGCTGGACACTTTAAAGAGCCCTGTGCTTCCAACAAAGCTTTCTCAGCTTGGATGAACAGAGTTCACATCCTAACTATACATTTAAAGCACTCTTAGTCATGGAGAATCCTGGGAACTGTAGTTTATTAAGGGTGTGTGCACACTCAGAGAATGACCTCCAAACCCTCCTAAACATCTCCGCAGACGCTTACGAAAAGCTTGGCCTATCGCTCAACATTCAAAAACCCAAAGTGCAGTACCAACAAGTACAAAACAACCACTCTGCAGTGCCACAAATCCACTCAATGGTGTAATGTTGGAAAGTGTCAATCACTTCTCCTACCTGGGCAGTTATCTTTCCACAAGGGCTGACACTGATGCCGAAATCCAGCATCGCCTGAGCTCTGCGAGGTCAGCTTTCTTCCAATTGAAGTGCAGAGTGCTTGAGGACCAGGACATTTGCAGGGAAACCAAAATGCTCATTTACAAAGTTATTGTACTACCAACCTTACTGTATGCTTGTGAAACGTGGACCTCTTATAAACGCCATCTCCAACTCCTTGAAAGATTCCATCAACAGTGTCTCAGAAAAAAATTACACATCACTTGGGAAGACAGGCGAACTAATGACAGTGTACTGGAAGAAGCAAAGTTCACCAGTGTCAAAGCAACGATTCTTCAACATCAACTTTGTTAGACTGGTCACGTTGTTTAGATGCCTGATTATCGTCTTCCAAAGCAACTACTCTATTCCGAACTTAAAAATGGAAAGCGTAGTGCTGGTGGTCAACAAAAGAGGTTTAAAGACTCTCTCAAGGCAAATCTAAAAAAAAGTAGTATAAACACCAAGAATTGGGAAAAACTGGCCTGCAAGTGCTCCAATTGGAGAACAGCCTTTACCAAAGCTGTCATGGACTTTGAAGACGCTCGAACTCAGGACGAAAGGGAGAAATGTGCTAAGAGAAAGGCACATTTGGCAAACCCTCACTGTGATCAACTCCTGTCCAGAAACCTATGTCCCCACGGTGGAAGGACGTGTGGATCCAGAATTGGCCTCCACAGTCACTTATGGACTCATTGCTAAGACCATGTTTATGGAAGACAATCTTACTTGGCTACGAGTGATCGCCAGAGAAGAAGAATGGGGGTCAGGCCTACCAGGGATCAGCTGCTGTGCTCATTAGGCCTGACACCCTGCCTAGTGCAGATCATATTTTTAGTAATAAAGAGTTAACTCCAACTAGCATGATGTGATTTACTGCTGGCTCGCTTTTGACAGTGGAAGACATTCAGTAAAATAAAACTACCATTTTTAAGCTTTTGGGGCCCTTCCAGGCGACCTGTTAGTATACATCTTGATTTGCTTACATGGTGATTAGACTATTCCGATTTGATCATTGGGAGGTTATGCAATAATGAGCATTTATCCTGACTTACTTGCATGCTATGTTTACACATCTTCCCATTAACCATTAGTTCATCCCATACTTTTCATTAAATTTCCCTGTGACGTTCCTAACCACAAAAGATCCAGTTGTTCCTTTTAAGTGGATCTGTTGTCCTAGGGCAACAGAGAACCTTAATTCACTTTAATTACACAACCCTAGTGTTCAAGAATGGGCTTGAATCCTTCCCTTAAAATACTGACAGTCTGGAGGCAGCTTTTATGACTTGAAAGAAAGAAAGAAAAAATGTGATGATGGTTCTTCAACATCAATATCTGTATAAATACCCTAACAGTCCAAAGCTCTTTGGGGCTTTTGGCTGCTATCAACAGACATTGTCAATCATTTAGCAAATGTCATGTGTAATCTGCCTGATAAATTCTGCTTTGGTTTCTTGGGTTCAGAATATACACAGGAAACCTCCAGGCTGCTGCAACCACATGCCTATTATACAAACAATTGTTTCTGAGAAGAGGAATTCTTATTAGGCAATAGTCCTGATCTCCACCCAAACCAAGCTAAGCCAAGCACATAGCATTAGCATCAATTTTAAAAAAGCAAGTCTGGATATCGACAGAGAGGGCTACAGTTTGCAAGCTTGGTTTGCATGGATAAAAAGTGCCAAATCCAGAGCCTGGCATCTCCATTCCAAGGCTGCCTCTCAAGTACCAGAGCTGGGGAGATCTTTTCTGTAAAAGCTCCTGCAGAGCCAATCTGGGTATCACAGAATTGGATCACAGAATTGGATAAGGTTTTGTAGGTGATCTAGCATGGAATATTAGGTGGCTCTTAGACAAAATTCTGGCAGCTATAGACTGAAGTGGAGATACATTGTGCTGAAACTCTCTGTTTGAAGCCCACCCCCTAGTTTCAAAATGAGCTGCAGGGATTATCACCTAATCTTCCTCCACACACTCCATCATCCAAAGCATATGGACTAGAAACATAATTTTAAAAACATTCTCCAAATGTAAACTGCTATTTACAGAATGCTGAAAAACAAAACAAAAAAACCCTGAATTTCATTAGAGGCCATGCTTCTATTTAGTCTTGAAGGAGCTGCAAAATCAGCATCACTTCCTGAGTCTTACAATGTAATGTTTTTTCCAAGACATAAGTATTTCAAGCTTGATATGTCTTGTAATATTTTTGTAACATGGGCCTATTTTTAAGGATGGTCCCATAACTATTTTTTTTAAAAAGGTAAAAAAAAGCACTTGAGATATATGCAACGGATAAAAGAAGACATTGCATAATTGTGCCTGTGGAGTGTGACTGGTAAAAATTGGGTGCATTAAGAATGGTTATGAACTGTTAAGGAACAGCATTGTTGAAATCCCCAGTTCTCAAATAGATTACTCTTGCTCACAAGTTGCTGAGCGAGAAAAACCTGCTGGCTGTTGTCATCCAGAGGCTCACGTGTAACTTGTCTCCCACACATGTAGAAGCGACTCTTAGCTTTATTAAAACTGAAAAATAGCTCCCGAAGGCTGCCAATGGGAATGGAGAACCAGGGGTGCAAGCATCTGCTTAATCCTTTCCCTCCAGCTGTTTTTCTGCTCAAAATCAATCCCTCCAGTTGCTTTTCCACCCAAAGGGAAAAGAGAATTATGCTGCTGTTCCTCTGTTCCCCATCAGTCTCCTGTGACTGCTTTTTCTTACAAACAAAACAAGAAACTGTTGTGGACATCTCTGATGGAGCCCCAGGAGACTTTGGCCAAAACCAGGCAATGGATGGCTGGCTGGCTTTTCATTGGCGCTGGCTGCTAATCTGAGGGGGTTCTTGGCAAAGGGACCTTGGTTATTATATAACAGGTTCCCCTCCCTGCCCCCTGATTTGTGGGACAGAATACCATATAACAAAGCAGTGGGTTTTATTTTATTTTTAAAGTGACAGAGCCCGTGTGGGTGCCTGCCTCCCAGTAGCTGCCATTTTTATTTATCTGCAATGCCCCCAAATACTGTGTCAGTCAAAGACATTGTAGGGGAAACAAAATGGTAGCTACAATAAAAACTTAAGAACATAAGGTGAGCTTGGTGGGATCAGACCAAAGGCCCAGGATCCTGCTTTTACAATGGCCAAGCAGATCCCTATGTGACGCGAAAGAACAGGGCCGAGGCTCAACAGCAACTCTCTCCAATTTCAACTCCTAGCAACTATTCAGCAGCATATTGTCTTTGACACTGGAGGCAGAACATAGTCATTATGTCTAGCAGCCATTGACAGCATTATCCTCCATAAAGAGGATGGGTATCATATCACAGGTGGAACAGACTCCCTCGAGAGATGGTGGACTCATTGGAGGCTTTAAAGCAGAAATTGGACAGCCAACAGTCCTGGATGCTTTAGCTGAGATTCCTGCAATGCGGGGGATTGAACTAGATGACCCTCAGTGGCCCTTCCAAGTCTACAATTTTATGATTCCTCCCTTGCAATGCTCTGGACTGCCTGAGGCATTCCAGCAAAACAAAATGGCAGCCACCAGCTGAATTATGACTGCTATACCTAGGTCTGCCCTGCAAGCAGTGCGGGGGGCTGAGGCCATGCAGGCAGCAGTGTGAGGGGGCTCTACCAAGGTGCCAGGGCCAGATGTTGGATCTGCTTCTCATCTACTGTATGCAGGAATATGTTCCTCCTCAGAAAGCTGCCTGCACACTGATGTTGGGAGACCCTGTGGAGCCTTTTCCTCACCAGTGGTCAGATTGTGACACCCCCACCCCCCAAAAAAGACACAGCTGATCACAAATTGGGAGAGTCAAATGGCAGGTCAAAATTGCCTTCCTTAGGTCTGCCTTTCACAGAACTGTTTGTTGATTTCAGTTCCTTCTGGATTCCCCTAGTTTGGTTGCTGGTAAGCTTTGTTACCGCTGCTGGATAATTATTTGACATTTTCCTTTAAACTGCATTTTTGTTTTAAATGGTGGTGTTGCTAAGTTGTCTTCCTTGAAATCCACTCTCCGGGGAAAAAATGAAAGTTATGAGTTTGCAGGTACCAGAATTTAGAAGTGCCAGACTCCCATCATTCATGAATTTAGTAAGTGTTAGAATTTAACCAATGCTTGAAGAATCACTAGAAGTCAGATTCTTAACAGCTGGACTCAGCTACTGTGTCAGGAGATTGCCTGAGAAATAGGTCATTAACAGAGAACAAAGACAAGGAAATGGGCTATCAGCAAAGCAAAGACCCGGTGCCAGCCCCGCCCTGAGATAGTGAGCAGAGACAAAAGGAGAGCAGTTGTTTAAGGTTGCAGTGGTGATGATTTTCCCTAGCAGAAAAGGTTCCAGTTTGTTGCAGCAAGTTGGAGAGAGGAGCTGGAGCACAATGTGGACTGCCTGTTTGAATCATAAGGTTGCAGCAATGGGAGAGAAAGGACTCTCTTGGAGTGCAGTGCTTTGAACCCCTCCTTCGTAGGCTCAGGTCATATATATGTACAGTGGTACCTCTGGTTACGAACGGAATCTGTTCTGGAGGTCCATTTGTAACCGGAAACCGCTCGTAATATGAAGCGTCATTAGCGAAAGCACGCCTCTCGATTTCCGTTCGCATCCTGGAGCAAAGTTCGCAACCAGGAGCAGCTACTTCCGGGTTACCAGAGCTCATAACCCGCAGCGTGCATAACCAGAGGTGTTCGCAACCAGAGGTACCACTGTATAAACAAACCATATTTCATATATCACAAGGACATCATGTTCTCTACTGTGCCTCATTTCCCAAGGAAAAATGAACCCTGGTATCTCACACTGCTTGGAGACTGGGGCACCATGCAACACTACTTTCAGAAATAAATATACTATTTTGGAAACAAGCTTAATTCCTGCAAAGCATGACATTATTATAACCCTCCCTTCTGTATCCAATGTCCAGGCAGTTCGTGTTGGTCCTCATGTAGCCTAACCATCCATGTACAAGAAAGAGGTAGCAGAAGACTTGAGGGAACCCCAAGGTTTGCAGAAGTACAAAAATACTTCAGGGTGGAAAATCATAGAGGATAGGAAAGGGAAGACCCTCCTCCCACAAGAGCATATCGGGAATGAGAATGTCCAGTGGTCACAATGCCGGTTGAGAGGAGAGAAAGCCAGGCGGAAACATCAATATGTGTTTGTGACTATTGGTAACTAATTTTGCACCCCTATCAAAGTTGTCTCTGCAGACGATGTCCTAGTTATGCTGCTGTCGAAAGGGTTGCTGTGGGGATGAACGAGACAGAAGACTATAAAACTTTTGGCTTGTGAAAATTGCTTTATAGAAACAAATGGCAGAAACAGGCCCATTAAAACGTATAAAATATAAGACAGACAAGAAAAAACACACACAACATGACCTTCCCAGCCTTAGTTCCTGCAAAATTCTGTCTAACTCCCTGAAATTTCCTTTATATGAAACTCTGAAATTGCATCATATTCATTAGGTGAACACCAAACACATTCAGAAATAGTGTATATCTGGTATATCTCTCTTGAAAGGATACCACTTTAGAATTCCGATGTGGGAGCATGTTGCAAGGCTTCCCCAGAGAGAGAGAAATCACTGCCATGTGGGAAAGGAGCATGTTCTGGACCAATTTGCTCCCTAACATGATAGGTTTTGTTCTTTAAATTTAAAAAATGTTCATGATTAAGTATGGCCATTTGAAGACATTAAGATCATCTTTCCAAAATGTTGTACAAGACCAAAAGTGGCTGTGTTGAGATATAAACAACAACCCCCCAACACACACAGGGATGGTCACATGCAGCCTTCAAAATAATGCCATGCAGCCCATGGGGCTTTTGCTCCTAACCCCTCTTCATCTTCTCTGCTAACTATACAGTCTAGAATGATGCCACATTTCTGTGTCCAGAGAGGTTTCTCCCCCCCCCCCTTTTAAGCACCAGAAATAACTTGAACAAGCAATTCCGCCAGGTATTCTGAAATGGCACTCTTCCGAGAGGTCTACTTTAAAAGCAAGGGCTTTTTAGTCTGACTGAAAGCAAGACTCAAGCCAGCTAAAAGCCACACCTTTGATTTAAGAGGTTTGAAGAGCACCCATTTCCAACCAAGCCCACCCCACCCCTTTAAGGAAGCTCATAAGTGCCAATCTACACAACTCTTCCGACAGGGTGAAGTCAAATCCGATGGCTGCATTTTGAAAAGCAATGAAGATTCCAACCAGGTGGGTGGCCACATCCTGTCTCAAGACACAAGGCATTGTTGTCTTGCCACATGCCGCCGGTAGTTGGGAGTATTTCTACAAACTTGCTTAGGGGCACTGAAGTGCAACATTATCAGCCCCTTTAGGCTGCAATTCTATGAATGCTTACTTGGGAGTCAGGAGCCCTACCGGACACAGTAGTGCCTACCTCTGAGCAAATTAAGGAGGATGTTGACAAGCTGGAACGTGTGCAGAGAAGGGCAACGAAGATGATCAAGAGTCTGGAAACCAAGCCTTATGAGGAACAGTTGAAGGAGCTGAGTATGTTTATCCTGGAAAAGAGGAGACTGAGAGGAGATTTGACAGCCATCTTCAAATATCTAAAGGGCTGTCACATGGAAGATGGAATTTTGTCCTGTTCTGGAGGGTAGAACTCGAACCAATGACTTCAAGTTAAAAGAAAGGAGATTCTGACTAAATAAAAGAAAGAATGTTCTGTCAGCAAGAGCTGTTCAACAGCGGAATGGACTCCCTTGGAAGGTGGTGGACTCTCCTTCCTTGGAGATTTTTAAGTAGAGGTTGGATGGCCATCTGTCATGGATGCTTTAGCTGAGATTCCTGCATTGCAGGGGGTTGGACTAGATGACCCTTGGGACCCCTTCCAATTCTATGAAATGTTCATAGGCTCTTCCTGATGTTAAATGCCTTTAAACCAGTGGTGACTGACCTACTGTCTTCTGACTGTTGTTGCACTAAACTGCCCTTATCACTGACTATTGCTGGCTGGGGCTGATGGAATTCCAGTAACACCTGGAGGGTTACAGGTGAGCCACCGCTGCTTTTAATGAAGAAGGAGAAGCCTTTTTTCATCAACTGCATAATTAACATGGGGATTTATCGGCACAAGATTTCTCAATGGTCACAAGCACAGACGGTCTTTTAAAACAAGACACACACAGGCTTGCAAATCATAGAATCGCAGAGTTGGAAGAGACCACGAGGAACATTTAGTCCAACCCCCCTGCAATGCAGGAACCTTTTTGCCCAACGTGGAGCTTGAACCCACAGCCCTGGGATTAAGAGTCTCATGCTTCCCCAACTGAGCTGGCACCTCCAGGCAAAGTACACCCTGGTGTTCAGGAAAGTGCTATCCCCAAAACACCCCACCAAAGAGCTTTACAGGCATCTCTGGTTGGGGATGGAACATGTGCTCAGCAGCAGAGCAGAGGGCAGTAGGTCACAGGTCGAATCCTGGCTGCCTCCAGTGAAAAGGCGCAGCTGCCAGTCAGCGTAAATTCTGGGGTAGATGGTCACATGACCTGGCCTGGTATGGCAGCTTCCTGTGTTCCTGCTGGAGACAGAATGTTGCTTTAGATCAGGGATAGGGAACGTCAGGCCTGGGGGCTGAACGTGGCCCTATAGGCCTCCCTATCCAGCCCCCTGGACTGTCACCAGGCCATATGCACTCCTAAGCTACACCCGTCGCCAGCTGAGCTTTGCATCCTCCTTGAGTGTCTTTGGTTGGCTGAAACATGTCACTGAACTCTAATAATGCCTCTTTGCTTGCCTGGATGGAGGACAGAGGGGTGTGGGTGTTTAGGAATTACCATCCTGTACAAAGGATGCCCACTTTTGTCTCTGGCCCTGGAAGGTTGCCCAGAATGGAATTCAACCTTCAAGATAAAAAAGGGTCCCCAGCCCTGCTTTAATTGGTCCTTTGGCCTAACCACTTGTGTGTGTGTGTGTGTGTGTGTGTGTGTGTGTGTTCATTTTACTTTTAAAATCCAGCCACAAAAGCCAGCCCTACTCTAGATAAACACATACAAGACACTCATTTTTCCCTGGATGCATCACATTCACCTAAATTACTAGGGTGAGTTTTACTCCAAATATTACCATTCGGCTTTACCCCATCCAAAGGGTTATGGGGTTCCACTCCTTAAGGCACGTAAACATGGCAGCTTCCCAACTAGCTGGATGATTGTTGTTGCACCTGACAGGAATGATATTTTTCTCTGGGACACTCCTACCTTGTGGAAAGTCAGAAAGCAATCTGTGAAGGCACCACAGTCTGACCCAACCTTACTAGGGTCCCTTCCCCCAGCAGCTGTGGAGATGCACCATGGGGTCTGTGACTGCATAGGTCAGGCATGCCGAAAGAGCATCGAGGGATGGCTTTGGCATGGAGCAAAGTTGGCATGTGCCCAGAGGCCGTTGATGCTTGAAGGACCCTCCCACCTGGTCAGGTATGGACTTGGTGCTAGCCTTCGTCCATCTCTCCTGGAACTCTTCCACCACTGAGAAGACCAGAAGGGAAGACATATTAAGTGTATGAGTAACTGTCTCTCTCAAAGGGAAGGCAGGGGGGAACAGAACCACCTCCTGGGAAGTCCTATTGCATCCCGGAAGCAGGCCTCTTCCTCCCACAAGATGGCTGTGCTCATGTCACTTCCTTTCTGGTGCAATATCTGACCCACCCTCGCTGCTGCTCAGATGTAGTAAGCAACCCCAAAGTGAGCAAGCGACGTGCTCTTAACCATAGGAAGAAACACCAGCTGTGCCAGGCAAAAATGTCCAGTCCCCTGAATTACAGTGACACAGGCACACCCAAAGCGGGAACAAGGAAACTGGCAGGTCAACACCCACCCACCCTCTATTCCCCCACTCTGTCCTTCTCACTCCTCTTTCCGATGCAGTTTGCGCTGCACTCTGGCAGTCATGAGGAGGGCCGTAAAGAAGCAGATGGATGCCACAAGAAGGCATAGGGAAGAAAAAAGTGGAGCCAGGTCGCCGTGGAGCCGTGAGTAGATGGGCCGCCTCGTTTCGTAATCCAGAAGCACCGCCTCCACCTGGGTAAGCGTGCAAAGCATCAGGAAGACGTGGAAGATCTGGTGCCCCTGGCCCACAAAGTGGCACTTGCCGGGAAACCACTTTTCGGGGTAGGGGTAGGCAAAGAAGAAGGCCGCAATCAGGAAAAAGAGGACGTGGCACTTGTGGTATAAAACGGCCACGTCTGTGAGTCCGGAGGAAGGGGAGACGTAGATGCGGTGCAGCACCGGGCTGATGTCCAAGGCGTACGCCAGGGCAGAGGGCATTTCCTGGCAGAGCCTGCCCCGCAGGGAAGAGAGGTGAGGGCTCCTGTATTTGGCATAGCAGGAGCCGGCGCACGAGAGCCAGGCAAGCAAAATGGCTCCCGGGATGTAGAAGCCCGCAACCCTTGTGTGCCACTCGGGCTCAATGGCGTAATAGTAATGCACCAGAGCACTGCTGTACTGGTATGTGGCTACGCCCACATAGTCCAGGAAGAAAAATGCACAGTGCCAGAACTCAGACTTGGCCTGCAGGAGGTGTGCCAGGGTGCTGAAGGTTGTGTAGATGACCGAGGAGGCGGCGATGACGAAGAGGGGCTGCGTGTGAGGGTCGCCTAGGAAGTCCACCGCCTGCGAGAGCCGCCAGAACCTCACCACCAGGACCAAGGCGGCCACCAGGTGCGTCCAGACATTGACAGCCTCGTTGTGCCGCTGGAAAAGCGACAGGAAGTAGTACTTCCAGGTCTGGTTGAGCGGCCGGTAGCCGGCCTGGATGTAGGGCTTCTGGAAAAGCCGGGGCACGTCCGATGCCTCCACCGTGCAGGAGGCTGAGGGGAGGGCCTCCTCCAGCAGCCGAGGGACTTTCCAGAAGTGCTGGGCACTGATGAAGAGGCGGCTGAGCTTTTCGGACACGATTGTTGCCATGGCAGGAATGGGCAGGCCCTGCAGAGCAAAACAACCCCTTTCAGGAAGAAAAGAGGAAGCAGAGTTGGGTTTGTGTTGGTTTGCATTTTGAAACAATGGATGCAATAACTGACAGTGGTTGAAACGGGAGCCACTGGGGGAACAGGGGGAATTGGCAGAGCAGGTGGCTGCTTGGGGAACAAAGGAGAAGCTCAGCAGTGTAATCCTAACCCTACTTACCTGGGAGTAAGCCCCACTGCAGTCAATAAGGCTGAGTTCTGAGCAGTCATGGTTAGATTGTAGACTGTTAGCGTACAATCCTAGGCGCAGTAGGAGGAAGCCCCTTTGAGCAAAGTGAGGCAACTTATAGGTAAACATGCAGAGGAATTGCACTGCCTGGCTCTGATACCTAGCTGGAAACAAGACCCTTTGAAGGAAGTGGGTCTTGCTTCTGAAATGAAATGTGGCTGGAATTGGCCTTGCAAAAAGGAGCGTATTCCCTTTAGAGTAAGGAGGGAAAGGTGTAAACTATATGGGCAGTATTATAACATGAATCTATGTAACGTTTTTCACTCCTGCTTTGATTGCATCAATCACTTTTGCAAGGCAAGAGGTGAGAAGCTGAGAATGAGCTTGCGAGGAGGCATACCATGGGCAGACTGTCAGGCAGAGAAGCGCAACAGCAGCTGATCAGTGGTCCACTGTTTGCAGACTAAACTTAGTGGCCTGGTTCACAAATAAAGCTAAGCCATTATTAACGTTAAGCAAAGCAAAGTTCATAAACCAAGAAAAAGCCATGGGCTGCAGGTGTGCCTTTTTGTAGTTAATACACAATAATTAAGCCATTGGGTTGACTTGAGCAATCAAATCATGATAGAGGAAGAAGAACACTGGAGATACGGGATTCTGGCCAGCTGGCTAGCAGTAGCCAGCAGCTTACTTTGTACAACACCATTCAAGCTAAATCCATTACAACAGGCTACCTGAGCAATGGGAAATTAGGATTCCAACACCTGTATCCTTTAAGATCCAAGAACACTCAGCTTCCATCCCAGATTTTACCAAGTTCTTTAATCAAGGCGGGGGGGGGGGGGAATCCTGTTTCATGCTTCTAACTTTTGTAACTACAACTCTAGATTTTTGTCAAATAGATTGGTGGGTGTGGGTGTGGGTGTGGAAATTCTTCTTCCTTTTTTTTAAAAAATCCCCAAAATGAATGAAATAATTAATCAACAACAAAAGCATTGCCTGGCCCTGATTTCCACCACCATTAAACTGCAACCAGCTCAACCTCCTCCTTTCAGGAAACGCCTTCTGTTCAAAGGCATTTTTTCATCTGTTGCCAAAGATGTGCTTGGTCAGAATTCCTAACACCACGAGCACCCCCTCCTAGCCAAAGATTCGTCTGGCTGAGATCACTTTCTTAACATAACAAACATGGGTTTTTTTGCAGTGCTCAGAGGGAAAATGCCAGGCTCTCTTCTACTCTGAATCAAGCCATGGGGCGCCAGAACCTGACTAAATACCAAGGCAGGCAATTTAGCAGTCTTAAGTCAGGATGGATTTAGTGAGAGAGATTAGGTGGCAGCTGAAGGGAGCCTTCTCTCTGAAACCTTGGAGCCCCCTTTCCCAACGGGGTGCCCTCCAAAGTTTCAGGTGAAGGGCTGGCTCTCCCTTCAACTACTAACTGATTTCGCCACCTGCCACCCAAAGAGTGGCTGTTCCTCAGCACTTCTGAGCAGGCCTTGTAGATTGAGGCTGTGTACCTGTTACTGTTAAATATGCTTACAAAAATAAGACGGCCAAGTCACCTCACTACACCAACTCTGCTAAAAAGAGCAAGACAGCCTGCTTATTCAGTGATAGGTGGCTTTTTTGAGACAATGAAAGTAACATGAGGGAATATGCACGTGTCAGTCTTTGAATCAGCTGAAAGTCTGATGATCATTAGACTTCCAATTCTCCCACAGGCTGCCAACAGCACTAATAGCAACCTCTTCCCAGTTTTCCCCCACAACCCAACAGCCTGGATACATAACAGAACCCCATTGTTATATAATGCAAAGGGATGAAGGCGGGGTTTGAATTGTCTATATAGGAACGGACCCGTAAGCAGCTGCTTAAGCCGGAATCCATGTGAGAACTTGTTTATTTTCCTGCATTCAGAAATTCCAATACCACCTCTTCTTTCTTTTAAAAACAAAGATGCCTGCGAGACTTCGCATTCTCTTTAACACCTCACCCAACATTTGCAAGCCCTGGCTTGCTTTGCCTCTCCGTGTACGCAAACGTTTGGTTCCATATTTTAAAGTTGTGAAACACTCTTTTTTAAAAAAAGCCATATACACTGGCTGACCGACGCTCTTTTTCCAAGCAAGGTACACACACCCCGCCAGCAATGGAAAGATCCACAAGCTGATTGCCCCATTTTATAGCCCTAAATCCAGAAGGGGAAAAAAAATCTCACGCCCATTTTAGAAGAAAAACTGGTCTCCCCACCCGCGCTCCCTCCTGTTAGAAAAGCTCCCTGATCGCCCCATAGTTTAAACTGCCCAACTTTTCTACCAAGATGTTAAAAAGTTTGAGGCGGTAAAAGCTTGCAGACTAATCCTATGCACGTTTACTCTGGAGCAGGTCCTCGTGAGCTGTGTGGGGTTTATTCCGAAGTGTAGCCAAGCTGCAAAGGAAACCGTGATCCTGTGCACACTTGCTCGAGAGTAAGTGCCGCCTGATGTCTTTGGGGCTTACTTCTAAAGCAAAGCTTGCATAGGATCGGGGAGCAAAAGAAACTGCCCCCACCCACCCACCTTAACTCAAAAGCGCGCGCACTTTCCTCAGTTCCTTTAAACGCCTCCCGGACTCGCGTTGCATTATGCAAATAATTGCTCCCCGCAGAAATCTCTCATCCCCGGTTTGGTTCTATTACTACACAGTCCCGTCGCACTGGGCATCTTGTCCCTTGAAAGGCGGGGGACCCCCATTTTCTCACTCCGGTGCCCCCCCCCCTCCTCTTACCGATCGCCAGCAGCTTCTTCCTGAGGATACTCGTCTGAAAGCGCCGAAGGAAGAGCAAAGAGAGAGAGGCGCCGACCCAGCCTAGCCGGGCAAGGCCGCCCCTCTGCGGCAACAGCCGCCGCTCCCCAAGAGACCCGCCTCGTCTGTTTTGCTTTTTCCCACGCAGCTGCAGGCAGAAACCAAACAGAAGCGCCGCCGAAGACTTCGGACCAACGAGGCGCTGCGCCCCCTGGAGGTTGCAGCCGACACCCGAAAGTAGCGCCGGGCGGGAGAAAGGCGCGGGGGGGACGACCCCAATGCGGAAGCTGCAGGAAGGGGACGTGCATGCTGCGTTTCCCTCCCTCAGACGCCGAGGGAAGATGCATGTGGGGAATCCCGGGAAGCGCAGCTTTTCTCCCCTCGTGTGCCAAAAATTTCATCCTCTGTACAGTTATTAAAGGCAGAGGAGCCCTGTTCTCCGTGTCCTTATCCCCAATCGCCTCTGTTGCAAAACATGAGCTGCCATAAGGCATGGAGGAGATAAACTGACATGGTCCAGTGAAGGCTTCCTCAACCTCGGCCCTCCAGATGCTTTTGGCCTACAACTCCCATGATCCCTAGCTAGCAGGACCAGTGGTCAGGGATGATGGGAATTGTAGTCTCAAAAAACATCTAGCAGGGGAGGTTGAGGAAGCCTGGTCCAATGCCTGCCAACCCATTGGACTCTGCACTAGGATCCTGCACTGTTCCTCTAGGTCCTGGGCAGCTTCTTTCCGCTTTATGTTTACATGGACCCCAATGGGAAGCAGCAAAGAATCATAGAATTGTAGAGTAGGAAGGGACCCCAAGGGCCATCGAGTCCAACCCCCTGCAATGCAGGAATTCTGCCCACCACCATCCTTGAGTGGGCTCCAACCACTAACCTGTCTTACCACAAATTCACCAGTATAGGGTCTCCCAGAAAATGACTGCTTTGCTTCTCATTGGTTTCTGCTGTTGCATCACTCTGTGTCAACTTATCCACACCCATGGGCGTAGCCAAGAGGGGGCAGGGGGTAGCTGCCCCTCTCCAAATCAATAAAAATACATAGCTAACTGAAGTGCTGCCCTCCCCCACAAATCCTGGCTACACCCACGTCCAGACCCACTGTTTTTCTCTCCCCCTAGACTAACTGCAAGGTTTGTCAAGGAAAGCTAAACCAGGAGCCCAGGTTCAGACAACACACTAAACCAAATCGTACCTTAGCACAACAGCAAAGGACCAGGGAACAAAGCAGCCACAATCATCTTTCATAGATCCTATGCTTTCATGCCAAGACAGGTGTGGAAGAGTTCTGGGGCACAGACCAAATTAGGCCCAGCACAAACCCCAAGTAGGTTCAGGAGGCCTTGTTCCCTAAACTACACTCACTTGACTCAAACCAGTCATCATGAATGGAGTAAATGCATGGCTGAAAGACCTACTTGTGTGAAAAACTTTACACAGCCAATCCCTGCAGAAAACATTTTTGCCCAACTCAGGTCTAACAAAGTCCCATGCTGCGCGTTTCCCGTGCCCAACACCCAGTAGGCTGTTTGGGAAATGCTGCACACGGGATATCCACCTTTTGATCCACCCAACGGCTAATTTAGTCCTTCCCCTACCCCATGGCAAAGCCATTATGGGAAAAATCATACTATTAAGTATGAGTTTCACTTCTTCTGAGTTTTATGCTCTCAAACATTGCTTACCTACATTTATGTGCTACAACCGTTTGAATATAAATGTGTACTGCATACTGGTAATCTTATTTGCCCAGTTTGGAATTCATTGATATTTTACTAGACTAGATAGCAAGCTAAATCTGAAGTACTGAATAATGCAAAATCTGTGTTACAAGTCCAAATGGCTGCTAGCTAAGGCACACTAAGCTGTATTTAGTGTTGGACCATATGCACAGCTATTAATCATTTAGAAGTTTTGAAAACTTCTCAATAGTCTTCCACCACCCACAGTACACACCTTTAATATTTTTTATTTATATAGTCTTTCATCAAAGTTCTCAGGGTGGTTCACAAAATAAAAATTCTTATTCATTGGGCTAGAGAATTAAGCGACTGCTTATTTGCCCCATTAAGTTTTAAAGCCCTGTTGTGCTTTTTTCAGAGCAGCCTCTCCTGCATGCCTGGCTCATCCCTTCAGAATAGCAGCTGCATTGTGCTATTATATTTGTTGTTGTTGTTTAGTCTTTTAGTAGTGTCTGACTCTTTGTGACCCCATGGACCAGAGCACGCCAGGCACTCCTGTCTTCCACTGCCTCCTGCAGTTTGGTCAGACTCATGCTGGTAGCTTCGAGAATACTGTCCAACCATCTCGTCCTCTGTCGTCCCCTTCTCCTTGTGCCCTCCATCTTTCCCAACATCAGGGTCTTTTCCAGGGAGTCTAGTCTTCTCATGAGGTGGCCAAAGTATTCGAGTCTCAACTATAGTAAATAGTTATATTTACTATACATTAATTTACCCATTTCTAGTCTTTGCACTCAGGACTTGACAGCGGAAATTACCAGAAAGGCATGTCAACTGGTATGTTTCTTCATCATTACCTTGTGAACTTTGGTATCAAACAAACTTTTTACCTGCACAAGGTCTGTTAAGCAAGATATTTCCATCTGGTGCATAGCTAGAGGACAAGTGATGCAAAATACTGAATTATTCCAGACTATGGGAGAGTTTGTGTACCTCCAGACTTGCCACTATTATCCAATTGAAAGTTCTAAGGAGCCATTAGCAACAGAACAGGGACAAGACTATCCTGGATGCACTTACCTCAAGTCCCATTGAGGTAAGCAGCAATGCACTGAGGCCCTATTTCTCCAAGAAAACTTGGGATATGTTTTAAGAATACTTCCCAGTTAGCAATTACACACATTCAGCATTCATTTTTCTCCGCCCCCCCCCCCCATTTTAAAGCATCACAAGCGCTTTCGGTGGCAAGGTATTTACTATCTATAGAAGAAGAAGAGTTTGGATTTGATATCCCGCCTTTCACTCCCCTTCTGGAGTCTCAAAGCGGCCAACATTCTCCTTTCCCTTCCTCCCCCACAACAAACACTCTGTGAGATGAGTGGGGCTGAGAGACTTCAAAGAAGTGTGACTGGCCCAAGGTCGCCCAGCAGCTGCATGTGGAGGAGCGGAGACGCGAACCCGGTTCCCCAGATTACAAGACTACCGAAAAGAAACCAATTTAGTTATGTCTATTTATTGATGGCTGACTAAATCTAATAGGTTACAGAGTAATGTTTGTATGTTGATGTAATGAGCAAGTTGACCAAGCACACATCTGTACAGAGACATGGACACGAAGCAATTTCGCATTTATGCCATTAAAATACAGCTTGAATAACCTGGTACCAGTCACACTACTTATGAAACATTCCAGAAGCTTTGGGGGGGGGGAGAAAAGATCTGTTAAGTGGCTCTCATCAAAGTAGGTTGGTTATGAACACAGTACTAGCTAGGTTGGGCGTTCTCCGTACTGCAAGTGAAGAAAAGCCATCTATTCTTTAAAGTATTTGTAATTTATTTTCTGAATTAAGTATTGTGCCTGCAGTAGTTGTTTGTGCACTGAAATGTTAAATATTTATTACAAGCCCATACTTCAGAATGGAATATTGAATTCCATACTGGGACTATGTAGTTACATTTTTTGCCACATGGGGGAGTTGCTCCAACTGGCAAATACATTTTACAACACTAAGATACAAAACAAGCACTATTTGGCAGACACTATCTTTCAGATCATTGTTTTGCTATCATTCCCCACACCCAACTCCCAAAACCAATTTAAGGCTCTACAATGCAATCATTTTACAAGATCCACAAGTTCCCTTTTAAAAGTATGAAGTCAGTATGTTTCAACAATAAAGTCTCTTTAATATCCAGCACCACCTAAGCTTTCTCTTATCCCAAGCACTATAATTGAACCTAGAGCAGTTTGCAAAAATGGCGACTTTGGAGCTTGAGGGTTGTATGGACACCCCAAAATTTTAAATGAAACTTAAAAACTAACAGGCAAATGCTTTAGAAGTCAGGTCACAGTCACGTTAACAAGAAGTTATTTGTTACAAAGTGCAAGCCTATCCAGGGAGGGAGATGGTTCTTAATTGTTTAACAAACCACCAGCTGACAACTGCTGAGGTGCAAGACAAAGCTCTTATTGTGAAACTGGGACAATAGGCAACAACTAAGGAAGCTGGCTACTGTGAAACATCACTAGCCATTGGATATATTGCTTGCAAGCATTTTTTGTTCTTTATTGCATCAAAATGTTCTAGCCATAGCTATGCCCAAGTTACATATTTAGTCATGCTAGTCTCAGAAACAGTCACCTGTGATAACAGCACTGTGCAGCTTTTATTAAGTCACTTGGTTACAGTAATATGTTTAAAACCGACAGATTCTGAAGTGTAACAGATTCAGCATGAGCATTACACTACATATTTCTTTCACAAATATGTCAGAGCTGAATACAGCACTAGCCATCAATCCAGGAACAAATGCACTGGAATAGAAGAAATGCAACAAGATAGCTACACTGGAAAGACAACATTTTAGAAAAAGAGTGAACATGAAAAGGGCTCCCCTCTAGCTCCCCAAAGCATGTGTACAGTTGGATCTAACTATACAGCTCTACATCAGTTTTCTAGAAACTTAACAAAAACACTGGCCAATACAGTCTTTGGATATTTAGACAAAGGGGAGAAAGTCAGTTTCCAGGATGAAGTCAGTCGCTTTCGTTGTCACCAGATTCTTTCCCCCCTTCTTTGTTCTTCCGTACTTCTTCAATATGCTTGTCCTGGTAAAGCAAGAGTTAAGATAGTGAGATAGAACCTGGTTCTTCAGAGGTTTTACTGCTACCAAAACTGTTTTGTTTCTATAAACACAATGCAAAGTCTGGACTAAAATAAAACTTACAATTTGCAGTTTCTGCAGAGCATATCCTGGGGTTTTACACAGTGATGCACTCAAGCAGATTGGCACCCTATAGTTTAATGACTTGAGAAGCATGGTTTTCATCCCAACAGGTTAACATTTAAGCTTCATGCAGCCAAAAAAAATCCACCCATCCAGTTTTTAAGTACCTCCAGCTCTGTGCAGTTCTCATTTATCAAAAGCATTCTTTAAACTCTAAATACCTATTCAACACAGTATTTAACACAGGGACAAAACAAAGAACTAACTACAGCTATTTTGTTTTAGTCAAATGTTAGGGAAGTGGTTATCAGTAGAAACCTGTATGTATTAACTGTCTATTTGTTGACTTGGTCTTACCTTATTGCTACTTAGGAAGTCCTGTGATTCCAATAGTTCATTCCCTTCAAAATTAAATCATTATGTACAAATTCTGAGCAGTTAGGTGTTAATTTTTATTTTTTCAACCAAGGTCTACTGTTCCTAGTTTGTAAATGTCACTGGTGGTCCAAGTTCATATTCCATTATTTTATAGAGAATCTTAAATACCAGACTTACTTTCTCTCTCAAGCGCTCCAGTTTAGCAGCCATTTGTGCTTCTCTGTTCTCTTTGATAGCTTCCATTTTGTGGGTCAACTTTTCCTCTGCCATTTTGCTGAAGTTGTTATTTTCTTCAATTGCCTTCTGCAGCACCTCTTTCTCGTGCTCTCGTTTTTCAGCTAGCTGCTTCAACACTTCAGCTTCATGGGACTAGAATATAGATCCATTCCATGTTTAGTTGAGAGTGGTCTGTATGCAATTACAGTTGTTGGGCTGTGTTAAGTATCATCTGAGTCATTGATAGTGGCCTCAGTCTACTAGCAGCTAAGCTAGTTCCAAATCAGGGCAGACATGGAATAGACAAGTGTGTCTCCCCTATTTGTCTTGGAATCTCTTTCTCCACTTCCAGTATACTTAAATTCAAACAGAACTGCAGCAATTCTATTTGAACTATTAATCTTTATCTAATCCTCAATTTATTATAACTATTAAGGTGCTGTAACATCCAGTTTGAGGCATTTTTCATGGGCTACGGCATTCCTAATGGTAAATTCTATAAACTGGCTACCATTTCAAGTATACACTTGTGCACAATGTAGTGTAGTATTTAGAACTAGAAAAATAATGTTTACCTTGCGCCTTTCTTCTGCTGCTTCTAGCTTCCTTTGAATTTCTTCCAGTGAGAGATCTTTTTTCTTTGGAGGAGAGAGGGGAAACTCTGGAACAGCTTCTTTTGAAGGAGGGCCAAGTATCAATTCAAATGCCTGTCCAGAAGCACGTTTTTCTAGTTCTTTCACCTGAATGTCTAGAAGAGACATTGTAAGTAATAGTTAGCATCCTTGAGCCACATCATGCTAATACACACTTCTGCTTAAAAGTGCCCTCAAGCTCAAGGAAGCAAATCAAATTTCAAGTCTGCATTTGCAGTACAAACTTTATAACCTGTTTGACTAGTTAATTGAGGCTCCCACTTCCCTCCGCATCATTAAGTGTTGTTTGAGGTCCCTGGGGGCGTATAATGGAATACAAAGTACCTCCACAAAGGCACAATCCCTGTTTCCTTGAAAACAACAAATCAAGTTTAAAAGTGCCTTATGTTTTAATACAGGCATTTGCTAAATATTCACACTTAAGACCTGTACAGTTATTCTACCATCAATATTTGGGCACCTACAGCAAAATTTAGTTTCACACATAGTCAAACTACAATAAAAACACCATTTGAGGACAGTTATAGACATTTTAATAGTTGTCACAGGATGTAGGTATGAACCTTAGTTATATCGCACCTGACAAGAACACTATCATTCAAGCCTAGACGTCATCTGTGCTTTTCAGTATGTGTAATATAACTAACACTGGCAGGTTAATGCTGATGCGATTGAAAAAATTATAATGCATTTTAATATACATTTTACTGATGTTTAAGTATTAAGTAACTTAGAATGCTTTTAATTTATTAAAAATGTATCTTGAGACATCATTACGTATATCTGGATAGCTCAGTTGGTAGAGCATGGTGCTGATAATGGTAAGGTTGCAGGTTTGACCCCTGTATGGGACAGCTGTATATTCCTTCATTGCAGGGGGTTGGACTAGATGATCCTCAGGGTCCCATGATTCTAACACAAGTATTAGTAGATAAAGTAGCACTTACCAGAAGACGCCATGGCTGAAGTAGATTCCAAAATAATTTGCTGCAGGAACTCCAAAAGGTGAGCACTAAGAAGATGGAAACATTAGATAGATAGTATCATTACATAAGTGTTAGGACTTGAACTTCTCTATTCAGTGTTTTCCTTCTACCAGTTTCTAGTCCTTATTTAGGTTTGGATGACATGCAAAACAACACATCTGGAAAAAAATCTGCTATACATAGTAAATATCTAGAATGATGTACTCTGAATTAAGTTATGTCCTCAGATCAGCCCCACCCCCAACACTAAGGATCCACCACTGTTAACTCATATTATTCAAAACTGTATTAAAAGAAATTAATCAATATGCTACAACACAATCTTGGTGCTTTACTGGAGTGAAGCAGACCAGTCTTACACTGCATTACCGATATACACAATAAAACAGGGGCTGGTCCTGTGTCTCAAGATAGGTGAATATGAATAGTTTTCAAATTACATGTGTCCATTTCAAACATCCTGTTATTTATGCCTGGGATTAACAATTCTGTGCCCCAAGCTCTTAAGTAGCTAGTGGGCAACCAGAAGTGCAAGTATTTTGTAAGAAGGTACATCAGATTTTCCTACCAGCTAGTCAAATGAAGGCACCTAAGGCTAGATAGATTGCTAGAGTGCAGGCTGCTTGGGCACCAAGAAGTTTGATAACAGCATCTGAGAATTGTATTGCCTCCCCCTCCTCCAGCTATATCCAAGGGTACCTAAAAGTAAGACACTATGGTTTGAAATTTATTTCCAGCAACGAATACTAATCCACTGGGCAGATGTGCTCCATCTGTCCCTTCAACATTGATTAAAAGCAATCAAAGCCTTACATATATGCTACTAGATTCACTAAAACCCTCCCTCAGGAGCCTCAGAAGGATGACATATTTCCTTTTTATCTGCTAGCCTAGGATTGGTATGCGCCATTGTTCTTGCTACCTCGAGACACAAAGGGTAGCTCACTATAATCGAGATCTAGAACCGTTTGTGCTAAACCCAGTATTAACAAAGCAAGGCAGCATACATTAAATAAATCCGAGCCTTGCCCTAACCTCTTCTCTTCCGCCCCTTACCTCTTGAGATAATACCTAATTAAATGTAGCACAATGGCACCCATATGTATGTTTGTATTCCCAGGCAAACAAAGCTCTTTTGCGGGGAGGAGGAGAAGAAATAAAACACGCACAATAGCAAAAAGCTGGGGTTCTTAAGGGGCACCTCTTCTGCGATCAGGCTGAAAAACCAAAGGCTAGCAACAACGCCCAAGATCTGAAAGCAGGGGTGGGTGGTTTCGAAAAAAGCCCTCACTGGCTTTCTACTACATACTATGGGGCGGGACCAGGAGAAAATACTCACAGCCAACAAGGATCAGAGATAATGCAAGATAGTGGAAGGGGGAAAAGATGGGGGAGGGGGAGAGAAAATGAAGAGCGACGCCTGCCTCGAAGCCCCGCCCACCCCACGCGCCATTCTAGAACCGCACCGAATTCAAACAGCCCGAGAGCGCGCGCGCGCGCTTCCACCCTTAGCAAAAAAAAATAAAAAAATTGAGGGGGAGGGAGGGAAGAATCTGAGCTATAACGGTAACATCCGGGCACCTGCGGCTCGCGCGTTCCTCCACCCTCCCCTCTTCGGCGCGCCAAAACAATCCCGAGCGAGACGGCGTCGCACACAAAAAAAACCCGCCTCAGCCGCGAGCGCGCGGGCCGCTTTCCTCTCCGTCTATTTGGGCTCGGGGCTTCTTCTCGCTTTCCTCCCGCTGCACGCGGGGTCTCTTCTCTTTCCCGCCCCCTCCCACCTTTTTCCTGTGTCACATTTCAGCCCCTCACGCCGCTTGAGGAACGCGCCTGCTGCCCCCTCCCTTTAATCCCCGTCGGCGGGCGCGACAAGGTGGCGGCAGCTTCGACAGCAACAGCGGCACCGCCCCTTTCCCTCCAACAATAGACGGGCTACTCCTGTCAAGAAGAAAACCAGAGGACGGGGAAAGGGAGCGGGCGCCGCCAGTCCGTTCAGGAACTGGGGTGGGGGCGCGAGCGAACAATAGCTTCCGCGAGGAGAGCACGCGCCCCTTCTGCCTTCCTCACTCGCGGGCCTTTGTCCCCCGCTCCTACCCGCTGGTCACCACCCACTCGCTTAAAAAGCAGCAGCAGCCCACTCAGGTGACAAAGCAACGGAGCCGTCTGAGACAAAAGCGGATTTTTCAGAGACCCCGCCCGAGAACCCCCCTTCGCCCCTCTTCCCCAACAACGCACTCCGCTGCCGCCCTACTAAACGAAGCCCCATTTGCCCCTCGCAGTGAAGAACCAACCGCTCGTTATCGCCGGCCCCGCCTCGGATTCAAACCAGCTTCTTAGGCAACCCACCTGCTCCTGTCACTGCGGCGGCTACACACAGACTCAGCTCCTAACCGCCCAGCGCTCCCCACAAAAGCGGCAAACAAAGGCACGTGACCTGCATCGGCCACGCCCCCTATTGGCTGAGAAAGGCGGCACGTGCCGCGCAGCGGGGAGGGGGAGAAAACGAGGGGAGCGTTCTCTTTCTCTCTATTGTGATGGCATGATGGGAAATGTAGTGCAGGGGAGTGTCTCTGGGTGCAATAAAAGTTTTTTGGGTTTTTTTAAGACGGGTGGATGGAGGCAATATATGGGAAATTGGCAGGCTCTTGGTTTCCTTCTCCAACTTCCGTGCAACCTTTGTGGGCGTCGCGGTCCATTCCTTGCCTGGGGCAACAGAAGAGTGCCCCTTTGTTCTCATTCTCCCTCCTGTCTCCGCTGCTTACATGTCAATCATTTGACCTTAGAATAGAGAAAACGCCCTCCCTCCGCAAAAAAACCGAGGTCTAATCACACTCCCTTCTACTCAAAAAGGCCTTGCAGCCCCTGCATGTGGCTCTTTAACTCTCAAGCAAGCTTCACTGAGCTCAATGTAGCTTACTTTCTAATAAGATGTTTATGTAAGCTTCAACTTTCAACTCATGCCTGAACATGCTTACCTGAATTCACTGGGTCTTGCACCACCATAAGACTGCAAGTGTGTAGTGTTAGGATTATAGTCCTAAAAACAAACTTAGTTGGTCTCTAAGGTGGTACTGGACAATTTTTTAATTTATTTTGACTGCGTCAGACCAACAATCACACCAGTCTTTAATTGAGCAGTTCCACCTCCTTTAGATGAAGTTATTTGGTACCTCACTTGATGATCAAGAGCTCATTTCGGTGGAATCTGGCCATATAACAGAATATAGGATGTCAAAATCTGCTAAAAGGAAACTGAGAAGGAAGCTTTAAAATGTGGGTGAGGAACTTGTGGCCCTCCAGTTGTTGAACTTCAACCACTGTCAACTTCAGCCAGCATAACCAATGGCCAGGGATGGTGGAACCCTGAGCCCAATGGCAACACCTGGAAGGCCACAGGTCACCTACACAGATTTAAACAAAATGAAACCTCAAAATATACCGAACAAATTAAGTACTTAACCCAAGGTACCACTGTACTGTAGATGTGTTAGTCTTTAAGATGACCCAGTACAGTACTCTAAGATGTCTGCATTCTGGTTAAATCGTTCCTACATCCCTTCTCTGGAACTGCAGTTCTGTGCAATATATAGCACATCTACCCTACATCTTTAAATTAAACCCATTTGGAAATTGTTTTAATTCACTGGTAGAACCCTAGCCATACACTATAGTTAGAAAAATAAACATGTGCACACAGCTCAACCAATCCTGTTTCCTAGTGTAAGGAAACAAATTACAGAGTGGTTGGCTTAGTGTTAACATATGAACCAGCATTCATGGGTTATTTTAATCACATACAAACGATGAACAATCAAGGAGGTTGGGGGCGGGAATCACAAGTGCTGGTTTGCATGTAACATTAAACCAGCTGTGCCATGGTTTGCTTCTCTAGAAAGAGAGCAGCAAAGCAGAGTGCCCTTGAGCTGCACACACTGGCTAATTTCCCTAACCATGGTTCACAGCCAACATTATGTTTGAATGATGTCACTTTCACATCTTTTGAACAAAGAAGTCGGATACACGTTAGCTCAGGAAGACTGCAGAGCCAATTCTAGCCCACTTCACGGAACTACAGTCCCCAGGATTCCTTACGAGAAATGGCAGTGAAACAGGCTTCAAGCTGATTTAAGTTTGTCACACAGCCAAGCCCCAGAATCTACATTTAGTTTGGAAATAGCCATTTTCTGCTTTTTTAAAACCTACGAACAACATTCTGACCATTTTCCTGATTGACACTGAAGCAGCTTCTCCTGTGCTGTTTGTGTGCATGGGTTAACTGTATTCCCTGGAGAACCTCTGCCTCATTATTTTCCAGCAGGTGTCCTCGACATATTTGGAGGTCTGCAACAATAGGAAGTGAGTCTGTTAGTCACACCCTGGAGGCTCTTTGCATATCGGCAGTTCCTCCATTTGGTACATTCTCTGATAGAAGTTCATAAATTACGGCTAATTCAGAGGAGCATTGTTAGAGTTCATTTACTAATGTTTGTAAAATGCTGGCAGATGCTTTAGTGGAAGCTGCTATAAAAATACTAATTATAAACTAAAAACCACTCACGTGTGTTACCATAAATTGTATGCTGTAACTTTAACGAGGATGAAATATACAAATTAGACATCAAATAATAAAATGCAACTGCTATATCAAAAATGTACAGTCCTCAACACATATTTTGTTAATCTTTTAGCTGATTTATTTTTATTTTTTTCTGGCAGAAACGAGAGAGAGACCATGATACATCCAGAAATAAGGCATGTTTAAATCACATTGATTTCAGTGGGGGAAAGTTCCCATTAAACTCACTGTGGCTCTAACTTCTAGGTGTGCACAGGATCAGCATATTTACTCCTTGCCTTACCTCCAAGGAGCTTCAAAATGTACCGGTACATGGTTCTGCCCCCTCCACTTTTTATCTTCAAAGCAGCCCCATGAGGCAATTAGGCTAAGAAACAGCGACTGACCCAAGGTTACCCAGTTAGCTTCATGGGGGTGGGGATTGGAATCCTGGTGTCTCAGGCATAGTTGTCAAATTTTCCCTTTTCTTGCAAGGAATCCTATTCGGAATAAGGGAATTTCCCTTTAAAAAAGGGAAACGTTGACAGCTATGGTCTCAGGTTGTAGTTTAACACTACATGGTACCTATATCAAGGCCTGTGCAGAGCTTGTCTGAGGCCTGGGACAAGAGTCTTGTTAGAATAAAGTTATAAACTCAAACGAGTTTATAACTGGTCCCTGGTCCCATTTTTAAACATAGCACTGGGTGCTTGGGATTAATTCTGTAAATTTCTCATGCCACATACCTAAACAGCAAATCTATGCAGGTTACTCAGAAGTAAGTCCAACTATGCTCAGTGGAACATGTCCCAAGTAAGTGTTGCAAAGGATGCAGCCCCAATTCCCTGCCCCTTCTCAAGAGTTCAACATAGAAACCATTCCAAACGTCTCCTCTTTCTTCTCTGATTAGTTTTGTAGCCACAGGTGTGTGCGCCGTATCCTTGTTTATTGGTAGAATTAAAAGCATGCTGGCAGTATCTTACCCAATTGCTTACTAAGGCCACATTATTATTATTATTATTATTATTATTATTTATTACATTTGTATATCACAGGCAGTTTACAACATAAAAATACAAAATGAAAACACAATAAAATAAAAACAGAAGCAAAACAAACCAATAGCGCACCCCCCCCCCACTGACACATAGAATGTTAATCAGCCTAACACCTGGTTGAAGAGAAACGTTTTCACCTGGCACCTAAAGATGTGTAATGAAGGTGCTGGGCGAGCCTCCCTGGGGAGAGCATTTCACAAATGGGGAGCCACTGTCTCTGTTAGGTGGTGATGATTCCTCAACCCATTAAATCCCATTTTGAGACCATTTCTGGCTATTGGCTTGCCTCTGTCCCATCCCGAATGTCATAACTATCTGAAATAAATCATGCTTCAGTTCATCTCAATATTGTAGGGGATTGCTTTCTGCTGGGGTGACAACTTTGCAGGAAAAAATCCTACTAGTATGCCGCTATGCCTTTAGCAGCAGCATCATAAGCAAGAATTCACAGGTGATAACTTTGCAGCACAGAGATAAGCTGAAACACTGGTTAATGCCTGTAGGGTTAAATACATAGTTAAAGGTTGGTTTACAAATCTGACAACCTTATGGCTTCCAATTGTCTCAAAACAATAGTCTCCCTCTCCCCCCCCCCATCTCCCAGGCTTGACAAAATGATCAGAGACAAAGCACTAGTTGCTGAACACTCCCTTTAGAGCACTCGGGACAAATGTCCCATTTATTCAGTAGGTGGCTGGGCTGGATCCACAATTCACATAAGCCAAATGCTTGAACTGAAGCCCATTTAGTGCTGTCTGGGCTGTGGAATGGTAAGAGGACCGTAGATAAAGCATATACATAAATGATTTGTATGGGTTTTTATTGTTAAGCTATTCTGCCTTTTTCTCCATCTGTCCCCATCTCAAATACTGAATATCTACCTACCTAAACACATGAGTGTGCACACTCAGGCACAGCACTCTCAAAGGTTTGGTTTCCTACTGGTAATGGATGGGTTTTTATGACCTTTTCATTTAAATCACAGTAGAAATCAATATACATGTCAAGGACAAATGACCATGGACTAACTGCACCAGTGGTGATAAAACCAAGCCCTTATTTTCTGAGCTCTTGCCTTACATTACCCATGAACTGAGCTATATCAAGAGGACCCTGATGTGTTACGTATCTCTACTTTTAAAAAGCACAACGATTTCTGCACATGAATTTCTAGATTAGAGTGGGTTAATATTGTGACAAGCAACAATAGATCCTTCAAAACACACATTACCTTAAAGATGGGTTGTTTTTTCTCCTCCCAATCGGATGTCTGTTTCCATGGAAACAAGCATCTGGCAGCCAAACATGGGTAGATTTTTCAGACTGAATAATCAGCAGTAGATGTTTTTTTCAAGCAGATGTTTACAACCCGAAAGACTCCGCGGTATTTTTGATGTGGTTCAGCTTCTTGACCCCTTGATGAAGATTTCTATGCTAGAAATAACCATAATTAATTAAGTTCTGTGGTGTTTAACGTGCTGTGTTTGCAGTTCAAACCCTCCCTAGTTTTACACGTTGTTCGTCGTTCTAAACCAGTCTTCACCAACTGGGGCTGATGGGAGTTGAAGTCCAAAATATGGGGGAGCACCAGGTTGGAAATGGGTGTTCTAAACATTCTGCTAAAGCAGGAATGGGAAATCTGGGGCCCCCAAGATGTTGTTGGACTAGAATTCTTAACTTTAACCACTGGTTGTGCCAGTTGAGGCTCATGGGAGTTGGAATCTGCAGGGCTACACATTCCCCAACTCTCATCTACGAAAACAGCCGAGAGATTTTTAAAAAGAACTTCTAGCATTAAAAAGTTTTCAGCACCAGTCAAAAAACACAGAGAGGGAGCTTATAGGATCTCTGAGAACTGAGCTCCATAAGTGCAGTGGCACCATTGACATCACCCTATCATTTGATACCCTTTAAATCAGCTTTTGCTAACCTGGTGCAACTCCCATCAACCCTTAGGCCCCTTGACTGCAACAACATCTGTAGGACCACAGGTTCTCTATCTCTAGCCTATTGCTTGTCAGTTATTCCAGTGCCTTGACATTCATTGGCCAGAATGATGGAAGGTGGAAATAAGTTTTTTGTTGTTGTTTTTTAGAAAGCTACTGGGCAGAATAGCCTGCACAATGTCCCTAAGAGCTGCATGAGGCAAATGGTCTAGAG